ATATCAAATATACTAAAGATAGCTTATAATTTTGTTCCTTTGTATTAAAAGTGTGTGTACCAAGTTGCTTTAATCGTGTCCAACGCTTTGCAACTCCACGGACTGTAGCCTACCAGGCTTCTCTCTCCGTGGGATTCTCCAGGCAAGAACACTGAAGTGGGTTGTCATTTCTTCCTCTAGGGGATCTTCCCAACTCAGGAATCGAACCTGCGTCTTTTATGTATCCTTCATTGGCCAGTGGGTTCTTTACCACTAATGCCACCTGGGAGATCCTTATTCTAAAATGTTTATAAAATTTTATTGTGTGTAGAAATTAGCATGATATAGAAGAAATTATTTATTTCATCTTTAGAAAAATGTGCAATTATTCCATATACTCCTTGTCTAGCTAAGTATCTGATATTTTAGAACTTGATAATATAGCTAACACACGGATACAACAATCCTAAAATCATTCTTAGGGAACTAAAACCTAAATACTTCTGCTGTCTAGTAACCTCAAGTATTCTGAGGAGTATGAACTCATTAAGCCCACCATGATGATCATATAGTTAAAAAAAAAAAAAAAGAATAACATTATCAAACACTGGTTAAAATAACTGCTGTGCTCAGATATTAATTAACTTCCTAAAAGCACCTAGCTGTAAGGTGTCAGTCCTAATTATGGCCAGCACTGAACCTCATTAATGTGCAAAGTTCCAATTGCATTAACATCACTATCCTTGCTTTACAGAGGGGGACACTGGAGTTTGGAGAAGATAAAGCGCTTGTCCATTTCCCTATTAAGAAAGAGAGCCACGATTTCCACTATATTCTCCATGACATTGAGTCTCTGTGTTTTGCCTCACCACCTTGTGTCTTATGGAGGCATAAGACCTAAGCATATTTTTAGTTTTAAATATTAGTAGATACCTAAGTATACTTAGTTAGATACCTAAGTAGCACTGATGGGCTTCCCTTGTGGCTCAGCAGGGAAAGAATCTGCCTGCGATGCAGGAGACCTGGGTTCGATCCCCGGGTTGGGAAAACCCCCTGGAGGAGGGAAAAGCTACCCACTCCAGTATTCTGGCCTAGAGAATTCCATGGACTGTATAGTCAATGAGGTCCCAAAGGGTCGGACACAACTGAGCAACTTTCACTTTCACATATCACTAATAATATCCTATGTCATATTTTAATTAATAAAAGAGCTAAATTTTATAACTCACAACTGTATCACCTATATATGAATGCATCATCTTTTTCAGAATTCTTTTACAAATGGTATCTCATATGTCCTTCCCAGGGCTTCCCCGCTGGCTCAGTGATAAAGAATCTGCCTGCAGTGCAGAAGGTGCAGGAGAAGCAGGTTCGATCCCTGAGTCAAGAAGATCCCCTGGAGGAGGAAATGGCAAATCACTCCAGTATTCTTGCCTGGAAAAACCCATGGACAGAGGAGCCAGCCAGGCTACAGTTCATGGGGTCGCAAAGAGTCAGACATGACTAAGCACTTGTGACTAAGGGAGTGGCTTTTATTAACGTCTCTGGAGTCATGAAGAAAAGAAATTAAGTGACCTGAGTGAAATCACACACAGACCTTCCTCCACAGGAAGGTCGAACCCAGGGTCCCTATTATTTCCACTAAATATGGTATCAGTATCTTAAAGAAAAAGGAAGAAGGGGAAAAAAAGGTAAAAAACCGAAAAACCTTTTTTTTTTAATCATAAGATCTTAAGATTAATCACAAGAGCAATGTTCGTTAAAAGCATTACATTTTCATAAAACTTAAATGTACTGATTTAAAAAACAGAAACAGAGTTACGGATGTAGAAAACTAACATGATTACCCAGGGGGTCGGGGGGGCAGGAACAAACTGGGAGACCTGGACTGTCATGTACATACTACTATATATAAAACAGATAATCAACAAGAACCTACCGTAGAGCACAGGAACTCGACTCAATACCCTGTGATGCTTTATATGGGAAAGGAATCTAAAACAGAGTGGGTATGTGTATATGTACAACTGATTCTCTTCGATGTACACCGAAAACTAACACAACATTGTAAATCAACTATACACCAACAAAAATTTTTTTAAAAGAAGTCACAGAGCTTGTCAGATAAACCAGTGGAAACACATGAATATGAAATAAAACTATAATGTTTTACTTTAAAAAACAAAAACCCACAAAGACTGAAAAAAATACTGATCCAGTGACATCATCCAAAACATTTTATTCCTATGACTATACTATAATTCAGGATACCAGTAGTATTCAAGCAAATACTGTTTCAAATGTTGACTTAGAGAAATTCCTATTTTACTTGTACAAATTTTTACCCTGGGGCTTATCAGCATGGATCTAGACAAAATATCCAAAGAATGAACCAATTATTAGACCTTTTAAGTAACATTAGTCTATATAACTGATGTCTTAAAAAAAAAAGACAAAAAGTCATATATCAACTGTCTAAATTTAAACATTTCCTCGATTAAAACTTCATGAGGATTTCCTTCAATTCTTCAGTTGAAACTGAAATAATCTGAATGGAAAAAATATTTTATTTCAGCAAAACTTGCTTTCATTTTTTTCTCAAAGAACAGCAAGCTGAGACATCTTGGCCTGTATAACTCATCACTGTCCATGTAAACGGTAGCTGCCCTGGGGCTTGAAAGATGTAGGCAATGTTTTTTCTTTTTAAACCTTTTTCTCTTCAAAAACTTTGGTACCTAATTAGTAGATATCTCTGAACTTTTCGGTGTAGGTCAGGGTTAAACCTGTGGGAATATATGCTGTAGGTCTGTTGTAAAATAAAACCTCTGCTTTAAAAAGTATCGCCTTACATTACATGGAAGTGAGGTATTTCGTTCTCTTTCTTCAAGGTTTCCCTTGAAGGGAGTACATACTCCTCTACAATTTATTCCAAGCACCTCTGAGAGAAGAGAGGAGGTGTAGGAAAGAGAGTCCATTTTTCTATCTTGGACTGAGAAAGTTTCCGTCTTAATAGCTGATGTGTTTTAAAAAATCTCTCATACTTATTTGTAAATGTGTATATGGATTTTTCATATGGAAAAAATGCATATGGATTTTGCATTAGCAAAAATGTGATGGTGTTTTAGTTCCTGTCTTTTTCATTTCATTAATGATAAAATGAGAAATTATTGAAGGAAAATTGCTCCTCTGTGAAACTCCTCTCCTGCTCTGATGCTGTTGCTTTAATGTCCAACATTTCTGACCTATGGACTGTAGCCCGCCAGGCTCCTCAGTCCATGCCATTCTCCAGCAAGAATGCTGGGGTGGTTTGCCACGCCCTCCCCCAGGGGATCTTCCGGACCCAGGGATCGAACCCAGGTCTCCTGTATTGTAGACGGATTCTTTACCGTCTGAGCCACCGGGTAAGCCCTCTATTGCTCAGAGACACCCATTTTTCTTTCCCTGGCTTCTGTCTATTATTTTATGATAAACTTCTAATGACTCAAAAATAGTCACCTGACACCTCTCCCGCACACCGAGAAAGCAATATCCCCAGTATTCATAGCATTAACAACTCTGAGCTCTGGCATTACTCCATAGGACTTAAATATTCATTGCCTGTTACTTGCCCTCTATTATTTTGCACTTTTAATATCATGATTTATGTCCTGTTTTGCCCAAAGTGGGATAAAAATAGTGGTGTTTATGTTTGTTTTCTGACTAATTTGTCATGACTAAGTCAAATTGCACAAACTCCCTAATATCGTTGGCCCAGTTTTATTACCTATAAAATGAAGATAATACTACTAGGATCACAGGTGGCTACAAAAATTAAATGTGTGACTGTTCTTTGGAAAGAACACCATACAGTATAGTCACCTTTGTGATGAAAGTCTCTTCAAGAGGGAGTAAATCTTTTTAAAAGAGGTGGTCTTGTTCATTTTCTAATTAGTGTCTATTGTCTAATCATTGTTTTAGAAAATTCATCTATTTTAGGATTTTCAAAATAACAGGACTCAAGTGAGAAATGGATGCAGACACTTTGGATACACTTGTCATGCACAAAAAATGCCTGGAAGTACCAAGTCTATTTCTATTTCATGTTGTCTGGACAATCCTGTTTCCTGCCTGTGTCCAACACACACTGTTCCTACCCGGCTCTATCCAGGCTGAATGCCGTGGACTAAGATTCTGATCTGTCAACAGCGGGGAGAAAGTAACACTTGGCAGCTCATTCATTTTGAAAGACTACATCTTTGGCCAAATCTACTAAGTTCTATACTATGTCTACAGTAGAAATATTCTTGTGTTCACTATTTTTTTTTCTTAGACTTAGCATAGTATTTTGTATACATAAGAAATTAATAATAATTTTTAAAGAATCCAGTTCAAAATTATTATCTATCTTTATGTTTCATTCTCAGGTCAAAATAAAGAGACTGAGGATCACAGTGTTTCAAATAAGTTTCAAATAAGTTCCAAATATATATATAATATGTATATACATATACATATTATATATATATTCTATATATATATAAACTGTGCATCTCTCTGACATGCTAATGGATGATTTAGGGTTCCAAAACAAGTCACTTGACCACTTGACCTGATGACTTAGAAAATTACATCTCAAAGTATCAATTTACATATCAATACCTATTAAGGATCATTTGTAACCTGTAGGTTACTTCTGATTTAGAACTGCTTATTCCTCCATATTTTTAAGATCATATTATGAGGACAAAGCGAAACTTGGGTTATTATATTTTAAAGTAGACTGCATGAAGAGATCAGAGAGTAAGGAAATGTAAATCTATTGGCTTGAATTCTAGTTTAATGGACATTTAGCTGCATGAAGGCAAGAACTATGTTTTTGCTGACTGTTCTTATCCCAGCATCCAGAATAATGCCAGGTACATATTAGGCCTCAGCAACATCTGTGAGTTTTAATATATAAATGAATCTATTGAGTATCTAGAAGATAACATCCTAAGTGGTAGGGAATACAAGAGTAAAAAAAAAAGCAGTTGCTATGTGTATCTGGGTACCACACCAGGAGCCACACCTTACATCCTAGGAGCTCAGACCGACCAAGGAAGTGAAGTCTTCACAGGCGGGCCCTCCAGGAATCAGTTGGATGGCCAGCCAAGTGGGAAGAGATGGAGGGGGGCTTCTCCCAAGGCTTCCTCCATTCAGGTTTTGCACTTGCCCCATCTTTCGGCTCCATGGACCTCCACAGTCTGCTGCCGTCGTGTCTCTCCACTTATGCCTGCCAGACCCCCAATGAGGCACAGACTGTGCGCTTCTGAGTCTAACCCATTCTTTCAGGGTGTTTTCTACAGCAGAGGCTTCAGGGCCCTAGGGGCACAAGGCATTCTATTTCACAGTAGTCTCTTTCCCAGGACAGAGCAGGGATGGCCGGACGTGGCCCACTCGGGCAGAGTCTCCTGATCACAGGCAGCCATGACTCCTTCCAACATTTCAATACCACTACAGGCACGCTGACTCCACTAACAGGTGATTTTCTCTTGGGAAGCTCCAGTCTCTTCCTCTAACTGAGTCTCTCCGGAGAAACACGCAATTCTTCAATCAAATTTGCATTTGCCTGAACCCCAATTACAGTCTGAGTTCATGTCTTCTAACACATACTCATAATTCCAGAACTTAGCCAAACAGCTGTTTCATGGTCCCGGGCTTTCCATGACAAGTAAGGAGTTCTCAAAACAGTCTATGCCATCTAGAGGCTGCTCTGCCCAGAGCATTCAGCTAGACCTGCCGGAAAATGCCTCACTAATGCCACTTGCCAGCCTCGTGGAGTGTGATCTCTGACCCAGGCCGATGCCATTCTGCACAGACTGTGATAAATTCCATAATGCAAGTCTTTCAAAGGTATGAGAGGAATGCAGAGATGAAACTGAACTTGAGACTTGGAAAAAAACGTCCATCAGTTGAGTCTTGTAGGATGAACACCATTTCCAGACAAGCAGCTAAAGGAAGAAACAGTTTTCCATTTGGAAGTGGCAGAACATGGGGGGAAAAAAACAAAAGTTTAGAGTCTGTGGGTTAAAGAGTCAGAAAAGAATATATTACATAAAATAAGGAGAAGAAAGAAGACAAGATACAAAGGGGAATTTTTCATAAACTTCACAGCCACACAATGCAGATATTTGGAAGATAGAAACAGAGTTACAAACATTAAACATAATCCTTCCAGTGAGTTTTAAACATGTGTGATATACTATTAAATTAAAATGGTTTAAAACTGCTGTGTACACTATAATCTCACTTAGAGAAAAATTCAAAAATATTCGGATAGAAAAAAGTTGAAAGCAGATGTTAAGAATTGCTATCTCTGATTGCTAGAAATATAATAAAATTTGATTCTATTTTTTCTTAGTTTTCATTCTTTTTGTTTATATGGACCTTGTGATGTTATTACAACAAACGTATTAATTATGATTTTAAAATAATGCTAACACAAATACACAGAAAGAGGGGAGAGTTCCCAAGTATAGAGTTTCTGAAATTGAGGTTCATCTCTAATTTTTATAAGGATATATTAATAATGAAGAAAACAATATTTCTACATATATATATATACATTTTATTACTTTATGATGAGTATTTACTGGCATACAAATGATAACCTGGCTAATTTTTCTTTCATAAAGTAGATACTTAAAGTGACAATTATGAAAAAAACTAAATGTATACAGTTGTAATGAATTTCTCAGAGTATGATTTCTGTTGGACCAAGAAGATGAGGCCAACTTTAGTACAAGTACATTTGGGTCATGATTGAAAGATTCTGAGGAAGATTCTAATGTAAAAACATCTCTCCCATTTATCTGTGTTCTTTTGTGGACAAAAATCCTTACTATTTACCTCACTTTTGAAAGCAATAGTTAACATTGAAATGCTGTCTAAAATGAGCAAGACTTTTGAAGATAATCAGTTACTTTAGTTTGCATTCATTTCCAGGTTCCCGGTGGGTAAAGGAAACTGGAAAATGGAAAACTTCAGTTCTGATCAGGGGCAGGGGAGCGGAGCAGGTTGAAAGCAAACAGTGCTTCTTTCCTCGAGGTTCTTGTCACCAGGTTGTGAGCTCCCTGACAACAGGAACTATGTCCTACTCATGTTTTCTTAAATCCTGCACACCCAGGACAGTGTCCAGGGCATTGTATGAAGCAAGAAAAGGAAGAGGGCGGGGGATAACAAAAGAGGAGCTGCTCAGGAAGTTCGCCGAGGCTCTAGAAGCGTCCAAAGCCTGCTGAGCACCTGCGAAGAGGATGTCAGATGGAAAATCATCCTTACCATTTCCCCCAGTCCTAATTGGCTTCCTGCCGCATCCACATGTTCTCAGGTACAGTCAGAGGAGGATACAGAAGGGAGAGAGAAGAGCACTGAAGATATTTGCATACATTATTGGCCAACTGAAACACACACATACATACACACACACAAAGCAAGGAGCAAAGAAGAAATAAAAGGAAAAGAAAGGAGAAGAGATGGGAGGGGAGAAAAGACTAGAAAGGAGGGGAGGAGAGGGGAGGGAAAAGAAAGGAAAAGGAAAAGAAAAATACATTTTTCCAACCAAGAAAATTTAAAACTCAATGTAGCTCTCTATTTTCAAGGATAACAACACGTTTCAGTAATGTGTAGTGGAATCTCATTAACTGAAATCTTGTAAAAGTTCTCAGTTGAGTTTTCTTTCTTTTCTCAGAGGAAAATAACATACAAATTTATAATGGCTTGGGATGGATTCTAAAGGTACTTTCTCAGCTTGCTGATGATTTATGACGAGAGAAGGGCTACCCCAGCACATACATGCAGTGTGTTTGTCAGGGGATGGGTAGGCTCCAAACTCAAAATGTCACTAATTCCCGTAACTAGGCCAGTGTAGAGACTTGTCCTCTTGAATTAACTCAAAAATACCTACTACTAGGGGATCAGAAGTTCAGAGATTAGTAAGCCTCTCAAATTTAGTCATGTAAGACTCTTTATCCAGTTTCAACATCTGACTTTTTTTCAGCAGGCAGTCATGTCCCCTAAAAAGAACATTCAACACAACAAATGCATCCTAGAGCTGACAAATTAAGATCCTATTCACATTATAATAGGGTTCCCTTTGATTTTAAAAGTTTATTTAAAGCAGTTTAAATGATTTGGTTCACAAAAAATGCAAACTTACTATAATGTTATAAAAGCACTCATGTGGGCAAAGTGAGTTGTGTCTGTATTAATTAAATATAGTTTCATTGGCGTCAATATAATTTTTCCTTAAAAATTTAAACTTAGTATTTTGTATTTATGAAAAGAGTAGGGATTAATGGATAGATAGATAGATAGATTTAGAACTGGAACACAATGAAAATTACATTATTACCTGCATACTAGTATAAGAAAAGATTCAACAGTTTTGTTGAATCAACGCAGAACCAATGCAACATGTAAAGGTAAAGAGATCTATTCAGTCAAAGGTCTTAACTAAAGAACAGAAGAAAAAGGAAAGCCCTCTAACACATTATAGGTGCTTTTACAGAATTAAAGGGTAAATTTTTATGAGTTAAAAAAATGCACATTGGGCACCTAGGTTCTAAGATGCATCACAACATTCATGCTTACTTCCATAGTTTGCAACATTACAAAATTCATAGAACATTTTAACTTAAGACATAAAAGGACAGTTGCTGTTCAAAAAGAAAACTAAATAAATTGATTTTCTATTTTTTCTTAGCATATTTTTCTTCTCTCTTTTTTTAAAATTGGTATTCAGATTTAAATCCTTCTTGAAACTATAAAACTGGGAATGTATAAAGTTTGCTTGTGTCTAGTTTCAAAGATGGTCATTTTTTTTCCCCTTTTCTTTCTATTCTTTCCTTCTTTTTCTTTTATTTTTTATGCACAAAATGTCTGCCAAGCCTGAAAATGATGCAGATCATGTTTCGATGTCTGTTAGGTGGCGCTTACCAAGCAGTCTGGCTCTGGTCAGGGATTTTTCAACTGCTCACTGTGGTGGAATTACAGTAGGGGGTTAGAAGTGGGGTGAGTGGGAGGGAGACTTTGTCCCCGTTGCATTTAAAATTACATCTAATCTTATCAGGGCGCTCGTCATTGTTTCTGGCGGCCAGGAGCAGGTACAGTACTGCTTTTGTTCAAGTCAGTAACTTTGTTGAATAAAGTTGAGGGAAAAGCCAAGGCTAAATAATATTCTTTCAGAAACTCATGTGCTGATTGAAAAAATGCTTTGAAAGAGAACAAGAGAAAGGTGGGGGTGGGAAGAGAGACAGGTAAAGTCACAATAGAAAAAGTAGCAATGTAGTAAGAAAAGAAGCAGAAACTTAAAGATTAGAAGAAACTCGTACAGAAAAAAAGTTTTTTCAAAAATACTTTTATTCTTATCCGCTAAAATGTACTGGCTCATTTTCTTTGGCACGATGTAATCGTAAAACTCAGGGGCCATACACTGTCTATTTCTACTATTTGAGAAAATTGAAAGTTAAAGTAAGACTAGTTGTTGTTTTTAATGGCACAAAGCTACAAAGTATATTTTTTCTTTGCACAAATAAATATTTCTAAACTTTGTTTTTCCCTCATTGATGATCCTGACTTTTTAATGTGCTAAAATATCAGTTGAAGAGTCTTTGTCACAAAACTTGAGGTTGTGCTAGACCTAAGATAAGTGGTAATAAATCCAAGTTCAAAAAACTTGCCCTAACGAGTTTTGAACAAAGCAGAGACACTAGAATTCTAACAACCATAATAATATAATTATCAGCAAGAAAAGAAACCCCTCAGTTTTCCGTGTGTCAATAGAGTCCAAGTTAATTCAGACAGAAATAATTGGCATTAAGATTTACAAGAGATTCTGTTATTGTCATTTGAAAATTAAGATAGAAAGTTGTTTGAACACATTCAGTTTTAAATCTGGCAAATTAACCTAGTTATTCATAGACATACTCTAGAAAATAGTTTCTACCCTAAATGACTGAATTGAATTTTTATCAATTATAATTAAATTATATTAAAATAGTTTAAACAAAATTTTTGAAGCTTGAAAAATATTTTTCACTGTGCACTTTAAGAAAGTGAAAAATCAAAATGATTGATTCTCCTGATCAGTAACTATTCTATGGAAACTTTATTGTCTCTTATTATCTTTTTTAGCTTATAATACTTCATTTTCATATTACGATCAAGAAAGACCTTAAGCTATGTTTTATGGAGGGGTACAAATATAAATTCTCTTTCTCCACATTATATTTACAGTTAGACAAGTATTTTGACACTTTCAAAACAGTCCGAGGAGAGAATACAGGTATGAAAACTACAGTTTAAGAGACTTTAAAATTGCAAAGTCACATTTTGTTCTTTGATAGATCACCATAAGTGATACATGACTAAAATTAACATTCACATTATTTTTGATAGATTAAAACCAAGTATGTGCTATTCAAAGTATTTTTAAGTTATATTGTAAGTTCTTTAGCTGCCACAGTTTATTCGTATATCCATTTGTTGTGCATATCACCATAAAATAATTTGATTAACAGCCACTGTGTATCATTATAGTTTCATGGAGAAACTACTTTTAGACATTGTCATTCACTTTAACTTTTCAGTTAAAAACTTTATATTACATTTCAGAGTCACATTCAAAAATCACCTACTGCTATTGATATTATATTATCCTTTGTAATTGGATTATAGAACTCAAGGAACAAGTATACAGGTCATATTTATAAAAGCCAAATTTACTAAATGTTCCATTAACAGACTTAACAATGAGGTTTTAAAAGTTATTTAGTGGCCCCTAAAATATCCTTTTCTTGGTTGACCTTTAGTCTAAATGTCTTTTTCTTCTGTTCCTCAAAATTCTTACATATCCTTTTGGTACTGGATATTGTCTCAATATTCAACAATACTGTTGCAATTCACAAGAGATATGAAATCACGATTCTCACCATTAGTCATAGTAAATAAAGACTTTCTTACTTTACATTTTTTTACAAAAATGAGAAAGGAATTGAATGTTACATTTTTCTTTACTTATTGAATTCCAAATTATGCACTTACTTATAATTACCTTCCTTAAATCATTTCTGTAATTTTCACTAAATAAATTACATTTTACTTTCACTGTTCCCAGACTGATTTTAATGACAAGCTAGGCTTGAGATGGAAGGCATAAATGAGCGAAGAAGAGTAGAAAAGTTTCCTAAAAATAAGAGTTGGGGGAAAACCTAGTCTATCCCCCAACTCTTATTTTTAGGAAACTTTTCTACTCACTTACCATTCTGAAGCATCACCTACTTCTATTTTTTTTTTCCCTAAGCTGCCCTCTTTATTCCTCAATTAAATATCACAAAGTTAAATTCAGTGTGGGGGAGGGGGTACAGTGTGCTTGGGATTTATTAAAAGGAAAATCCAGGGAAATAAGGTCATATATCTTCAACTATATGCAATTATGCTATCATATAAATCTGATCATCATCACTGATTTTGAAACTAAGAAAGCTGACATATAAGAAGATGAATTACCTTCATCATGAGCTATAGACCATCAGTAATATCACTCTGAGTGCTAAATTAAAACTCAGGTTTTTAAGAGATATGCTAATTGTTTGACCCTCTTGCAGTGTGGAATATAAACTTTCAATTTTTAAAAAAATTTTCTTTTCCTTCAAAATTACTTAAATTATTTGCTTGAAGGGATAACTAAATTTGCTATCTTCTTATTTATGTACTCTCATGAAACTTTCATCTCCTAGAATAAGGGGCCATAATAAGGGGCCATAATAAGGGGCCACATGTTCACTGACTACAGTCATGGTCTAATGTCATGAACAAGTGCCTTAGGTGGTGATGCTTAAGGCAGATCTATCCTGTACTTAGACACAACTCCCACATCAACTATAGTAAAAACCACATGCTCAAACAAGGCTCAAAATCAATGACTTCCTAAGGAGGTCCTGAAGAGTTGGACATGACTTGGTAACCGAACAACAACATAACAACAAAAAATTTTGATTTGAGTAAGGGAAAGCTCAGACCTGTATTAAAATTTAATTCCTTAATAGTCAATGACAAAATGTTTCCATGACAGGCTCCAAGTGCATCATCTAGCTGCAAATTTCCTTATGACGAGTCTCCGGTCAGGGCCCGATCCCACTCCCTGTACTCTTAATTACAAGCCGGGGAAGACCTTTGTGGCGGCATAGATGTTTCTCATGCCCATCCATGGGCTTCTCTACCATTCCCCATTCCACTGTGCCTCCCTCAAATTCAAGAAGCTCAACAGAAAGGAGGCAATATCAGGGGGACAGGACTGAAGGCCCAGGAGCTCTACCAATTTGGCCTTTATGCTCAATTAATATTATTTCCGTTACAATGTGATGAAATTACTGAACTGTCTTTAGAAGATAGAAAACCTCACTCCCATAGAAAATGAGTCTGAGTTCCTGCCAAACAATGTTGATTTTTTTGGCAACAACCCCACTCATAAACTGGAAATATTTTTTTCAAGGAAATAAAAAAATAATAAAAATTTCTAATTGAAAATGCAGTACTAATACTCAGCCACACTACTAACAGGGTACGTTACAATTCAAGCTGCTGCTGCTAAGTCACTTCAGTCGTGCCCGACTCTGTGTGACCCCATAGACAGCAGCCCACCAGACCCCTTCGTCCCTGGGATTCTCTAGGCAAGAATACTGGAGTGGGTTGCCATTTCCTACTCCAACAATTCAAGCAACCCACAGCAAATCCAAAATAGCCAATAACTATGCCATTGTAAAGGCTGTTGTCAGACAAAAGCAAATTGCCATTCTGATATCAGGAAATGAAAGAGAAAAGTCAAGAACCCAAGATTTGACAGTCTGTGGCTTTAGGTAGAGAGGGAAAATTTATAAACATTCTTCATAAACGTTTGCTTTAGCGAATTAGGAAATTTTCTAGTGTGAAAAATACTAACAGAAATGCCAGATAAAGTATCACCAAACTCGGCCAATGTTCAGTTGACAAAGCAACACTGTAACACAAGCAGTTATTTCACAGGTACCTGGCTTGTAGATCTAATATTTGATTTATTGCAAGATTCTTCTTGCTATCATAGACTTTCTGGTCACAAATCTCTAATACAAGTTTACTTTCTATTTTTCACACAGTTTCAGAAACAGACTTCTCTTTTCCAAGGAAACCAGCTTCCAAAATAATTGACCATATTTAATCATAAATTTAAGTTCTGGTGAGTTGAAAATATAATCTGTACATTTCTCATCTTTTCTACAAACACAGTGTTTTATCAGACCTTTACACTAATTCTGTTCATTTTCACTATATCAGCATAATTAAAGCAAATTTAAGTTATCTGCCTAAAACCACTGTTAACTTATTTTTCCATAATTACAACACTGCATTTTTACATGGCAGTGTTTACGAGACAGATGTGCCTCAGCAAGCTGGTTTGATTCAACAAAACATGGTGAAGTATGCTGTGGTAGATGGTCTGCTCTGACAGGGGTGAAAAGGAAGACAGTACAAATGTGTTTTGAGCGTGAATGGAAGACCCAACCGCTACAAAGCCTTAGCTTCATAGCACAAAAATCTGGGTATCATCAACTCTAAATTCTGTTTTCAACCTTAGAACAATTAAGAGAGAAAGTAGTGTTTTTCAGCTGGATGGAGGTAAAATGAGGGCTTTGGGAATCTTGAATTTATTCCGGTACGTGTTTGGAAAATCTCTGAAGTAGCCGGGTTGGAGGTTGAAAAATAGTAATGGAAACAAGAGAGATTTATCAGAGGGATTATTTGCCTATTCACATCTTATATAGAAACCAAAGTGTGTTGTTGCACTTTTACTCTATTTTCTTCTGCATGACTTCTCACATCATTTTACAAAATCTTTCATCTACGGATCTGAAGGCGCTGATCTATGTTGGAAAAAAAATTTTTTTTCTGATAGATCCAGCCATATGTGTTTTGCTCTTGAGCCAGACTGTAGGCTTCTGCTCACACTCCGAGTGAATTCAGGGGGGCTGCGATGAGTTGAAATAGCCTGTTTGATGTTTTCGTTTTTACACTTCAGTAAGCAGCAGTCTCTTTGGCTCCTCTCACAAAACAACCCTGATAGAGAGAAGCCATACTGGAGAACTTTCTGGTGAAAGCTTCCCTATGATCCAAAATAGCTTGGTCAACTACTTACTGAATTCCCCAATTTTGTGTAATTCAGACTCTATCTGAAGAAAATAAATATTCCTTATATTAAAACACAGCCCTCAAAACTTATAATAATAAAATCTTTCCTCTTTGGTCTGAAAGAAAATGTATGCAAATGTTCAAGGTTATCTAAACCAAAATTATGTTCCACTAAATAACTTGTTGACAAGCTAGAAATCCAAAAATGTTTTTCTTCTTCTCTCTCCCACTTTCCCCTTGGCATTTAATACTCTACCTGTTTGAAGTTGTTGAAGCATTCTGAAATTTAGTATAAGTGCTTGAAGAATCTTGAGCAAAATAATAATAATAGAAATACATTTCTATTGTGATTTGAGGGGAATATATCTTTCCTCCCCTGAGGGCTTAATAAATACTGCAACTTTCCCTCTGATTTTTAAAAAATGCACTGACAGCTTTCCTAATGTTCCTTAATTAGCTTTAATTTCTTAGTATTCTGAGTTGGTAGAATTACTGTATTTAGAAAAGATAAAAAGAATAATTTAGAAGGAATCTTTTTTCTTTTCTTTCATTCTATCTTAAAAATATAAGGCATGGAGAGTGATAATGCACCAAGTTCCAATAATTTTTGATATTCACCCACCAAATAGTTCACTTGAGAGAAATCCCAAAAAGGAAAGAACTGTCTGGTTTTCATCATATTAAAACTTTATGATTTGCTCTATTTTGTCATGTAGGTGGTAACCACGAACTTCCAGCATGCATGCTGGCAAGTTGAGGTCCTAGCAGACTTCCCCACAGCATTTGCTCTGGGAATGCTAAGATGTCCCAGCTTTGCTGTGCAAGTAGCTGAAACATATGCAACTGAGCTCATTTCACCTGAGAAAATAGACTTCAAATGAGGCAAAGTTTGCCCTGGTTTGAGAAACAGTGACCCACAGGATCTGAAATGCAGTGTGTGGCCCATAGGCAATCATTGCTTTCTCTACCCAGCTGATTCTGGTCATTTATGGACAATGTGTCATGGAAACGTTATGTACATAACAGACCTTAAGGGCAAATGAGAACTACACCATCTTCCCACTTAAAGAAGTTGATGGGATCCAATAAATTATTTTACAATGTATTTCCTCTAGATAGTAACTGAGATGTCATTACACAGTGAATCCATACACCTTTGGGAAACTTTTTACAAATAACTAAATTTGGTCAACCTTTATACGACCTCTAGGGGGAACAGCTGGTGGAAGAAAACCTCAAGTAATTTCTGCTTCAGGACCAAAGTGCTGCTGCATAGTGTTAAAGATCCATGTTTGAATTCTGGCTCTGCCATTAGTTTGCTCAGCGATACTTAATGAAAGCCTACCTTCCAGGCAGCACAGTCATCACTGGATACATGACGGGGAATAAGAAAGTCATTGCCTTTGTCTTGTGAACTTTGGAGTCTAGTGAAAGAATCAGATGAATAAATAGGCTATTAGCAAACAGGATGATAAATGCTGTCACAAAGAAGTACAGAATATAGAAGTCCCTGAGAAGTGCACTCTATTAGTTTCTTAGAGCTACTGTAACAAGTTGCCAAAATTTGGTGGCTTAAAACTATGCAAATTATTGTAATATAAACTGAAAGACAGAAGTCTAAAATGCATTTCAATGGGCTAAAAGCAAGGTAAGCAGGAATATATTCTTTCTGGAGATTCCAGGACAGAATCCATTTCTTTGCCTTTTCTAGCTTCTAGAATGCCTGCATTTCTTAGCCTGTGGCCCCTTTCCATCTTGAAAGCCATTTGTGGCCAGTAGAATCTTTTTCATGCCATGTCTCTTTAACATTGACTTTTCTGCCTTCCTATTCCACTTATAAGGACACATGCTTTCATCGGGTCCAGTCTAGATAATCCAGAAGAAAGTCTCCATCTTACAAATACCTGATCAGCAAATGATATTCCATCTGCAACCTTAATTTCTCCTGGCCAGGAAACAACATATTCACAGGTTCCAGAGACTAGCACTAGCGTGTGGACATCTTTGAGGACCATTACTTTGTCTGTCATAGGCAGACTGGCAGTGGGGAGGATAAAGAGTGAGGAAAAGCTAATTAGAGGATTGAAATGTAAGATCAGACCTGAAGGATAAGTAGGATTTAGGTAACTAAAGGGAGGTCTTAGCAGAGTGAGATGTAGGCTTCTCTGGTTTTTTTGGTGGTGGTGCCGGTGGTGGTTTAAGGAAAATTAAAAAAATAAAAAATAAATAAACCGGAAAGCCTCCCCCGCCCAAGGGCCTCCCCTGCCGCAAGTTCAAGGGCTGTGCAGAGGCCTCAGTCGCGGTGGCACATGGCCTTAACTGCTCTGCGGCATGTGGAAGCTTCCTGGCTAGTGATCGAACCCATTCCCCCTGTGTTGGTAGGCAGAATCTGAACCACTGGACCATGAGGGAAGTCCATAGGCTTCTCTATTTTTTATTATGGAAACAGGATGTATGATGACCCAGAAGGCAAACAGATTATGACCCATGGGAAGATGTGAGGAAAAAAACTGAGTATGGCTCGAGCAAAGATTGTGAGGGTGAGAGAATCTCTGACAAGAGATAAAGCCCAGTCATTAATCAGCTATGCAAGACCTTGGAAAACATGATGAAAGCTTAGGAATACATTACTGGAATCCAGACAGTTGATGCTGGGGTCCCGTATGAAGGTGAAGAGTGGAGCTGGGCACATTTGAGCACAGATTTGAGCAACATGTTCCTGGCTGGGTCAACAGAGGACAGTGATTGCTACCCCCAAGCTTAGAGGAACACTGAAGGGGGCTAGGATGCTAACAGAATAGAAAAGAAAAAGTTGGATGTAGAAGCCTTCAATAGAATGACGCAGACAATCCTGGGCAGCTCTCCATGGAGGAAGCCATAGTCATCTAACAGTCAACCTCCCTCTTTTCAAAATGAATTAATTATGGTTTTGATTAGTGCTATGAAAGAGAAGTTCAGAGTGCTGAGAGAGTACAAACAGGAGCCCTACACTTAGCCGTGGAGCGGAGAAAACTTAAGGAGCAATACTTAAGCCAAGATGTGAATGATAATTAAGAAATAACTAGGTGAAGGGAAGGGAATCCGGGCAGAGGGAACAATAAACACACAAGGCCAGTGGTGGGAAGGAGCATACCCCATTTCAGAAGCCAAAAGGCCAGCACCTTCAGACAGAAAGAAAATGAGGACAAAGGAGTATCAGACAAGTCAAAGCTGGTGGAGGCCGGGGCAGAGTGGGGCCAGAAACACAGAGCTCTCAAGGGTCTTTACGGATTGAAAACTTGGTCTTGTGAGCAGTGAGATGTCGCTTATATATATAACCAAAAGGATGGCATAGTCAGATCGCCCCTTTATAAGGATCGGCTAGCTGCAGTATGAAGCATATATCCAAGAGGATAAAAATAACCCACCTGTGACAGTGCACAGTGGTTTGCACAGACAGAAACACTGCACACCGGAGGGAGAAGCAATTGCTACTGGAAGTGAAAATGGACTACGGTTGAGTTTGCCTTCCAGAAAAGTGGAGACAAGAGATAAAGCCCAGTCATTAATCAGCTATGCAAGACCTTGGAAAACATGATGAAAGCTTAGGAATACATTACTGGAATCCAGACAGTTGATGCTGGGGTCCCGTATGAAGGTGAAGAGTGGAGCTGGGCACATTTGAGCACAGATTTGAGCAACATGTTCCTGGCTGGGTCAACAGAGGACAGTGATTGCTACCCCCAAGCTTAGAGGAACACTGAAGGGGGCTGGGATGCTAACAGAATAGAAAAGAAAAAGTTGGATGTAGAAGCCTTCAATAGAATGACGCAGACAATCCTGGGCAGCTCTCCATGGAGGAAGCCATAGTCATCTAACAGTCAACCTCCCTCTTTTCAAAATGAATTAATTATGGTTTTGATTAGTGCTATGAAAGAGAAGTTCAGAGTGCTGAGAGAGTACAAACAGGAGCCCTACACTTAGCCGTGGAGCGGAGAAAACTTAAGGAGCAATACTTAAGCCAAGATGTGAATGATAATTAAGAAATAACTAGGTGAAGGGAAGGGAATCCGGGCAGAGGGAACAATAAACACACAAGGCCAGTGGTGGGAAGGAGCATACCCCATTTCAGAAGCCAAAAGGCCAGCACCTTCAGACAGAAAGAAAATGAGGACAAAGGAGTATCAGACAAGTCAAAGCTGGTGGAGGCCAGGGCAGAGTGGGGCCAGAAACACAGAGCTCTCAAGGGTCTTTACGGATTGAAAACTTGATCTTGTGAGCAGTGAGATGTCGCTTATATATATAACCAAAAGGATGGCATAGTCAGATCGCCCCTTTATAAGGATCGGCTAGCTGCAGTATGAAGCATATATCCAAGAGGATAAAAATAACCCACCTGTGACAGTGCACAGTGGTTTGCACAGACAGAAACACTGCACACCGGAGGGAGAAGCAATTGCTACTGGAAGTGAAAATGGACTACGGTTGAGTTTGCCTTCCAGAAAAGTGGGCATAATTCATTCCCACGGTGATGGCTCTTCCTTTGAGAAAACATCTTCACAATGTAAGTGGTTTCCTTCCCTTGAGAAAGTTCAGGTCCATGACCTGGATGGTCTGGGCTGGATGGGTGGTGTGAGAAAAAAGACAAACCTGTACTGTTACTCTGAGTAGTAAAGGGAGAAAATGTTGGCTTTGCTGCAGGCAAAGCTTAGAGGTGCCTGGGACTGAGGAGAAAAAGGAGTTACCAGGAAGATCTAGGAACAAAAGTCAGAGGGTTCCTGGCACATACCTGGAGGTTGGAGCATACAGACAGACGGTCATGGAAGAACTGATGGAAGGGGATGGCTGACACATTACTGGGAACACTGATGTCTGTACTTGACATCTAAGTTGAAGTGTTTCTGGACCTGTGATTACTTTCTGCAACCTTCAAATCTGCAGTAAAAGGCTGCCACTCACATGAGCCTCAGTTTGCGGTACTTTGTTGGCCTGCAGGAAGAGGGGCCAGATCTCCCACTAGGCCAGCACAGGCAGGGAGCACCCCCAGGGATGAATGGACGTGGTCAGGAGAAAGCAAAAGCATATGAAAGTCATGGAAGAGCACCCCCAGAGAAGCATGCACACCCTAGGGGGGAAAAAACTCAAATAGGGAAGATTCTGGGCTTCCCACAGTAGATTTCAAGGCAGTTGATTTAGATGAGAAAGTGGAGTGTGACCACAGGAAACTTACAGATAGGAAAGTAGAAAACATCTGGATTGTAGCTCTTTATTATATTTGGGGTTAAACCAAACTGATACTGCTTGATAGCTGTTACTATTTACTGTTCACTCTGAACCAAGAAAGTCTTAATATTTTCTAAAAATTCTCCCTTTGGGGCTATTTTTGCAGATATAACTAATAGCTTACTGAATAAAGAAACATACCACAGTGTCAAATGTTACATAATACACAAAAATGAACTCTAGTATTTTCTTGATCAGAAATACTCAACTATCTAAATGCATCAACATGCTACAAAGAGGCATGCTGTGACATCGCTCCTGCTGCTTTTCTAACAAATCATGGCTAAAAGGACCAAAGTCTGACCTTTATATGGTAAACTCTTACAGAAATGGCAACCAGAGTTAAGTATCATAACCAGAAATAAGCTTCATATCATGTGGTCTTTATTAAAATACCAAAACACGGGAAAACTTTTAACAAAGCATTTCTGTTCCAGAGACTTGCCCAAGCATTTTTTTCTTTTTTTAAGATTTCTAGTTCACTTGAGTTTACAGAAGGATTTCATCTGCTTTTGCAGATTCACTGTCATGATGAGGACATTAAGAGGCCAACTATTACCCAAGACATTTTGTGAATACTTGCAATAAAATCAGTGCATGTAAAAACTAAATAAAAATTCATGTTACTTTGTGTGGAACATTTAGACAAACCTACACACACAGTCATAGCTATCCAGATAAATCACAGAAAAATCTTAGTTTAAAAAAAAATCATCCAGGTAATTGTGAGAAAGGCAGAACTTCCCTTTCTTCCTTCTACTGTGTTAGGTATGGCTTGCTATGAAGTCCATATTCATGAAAATGGCAGTTTTTAACTTCATTATGTTTCTTGTTCATCTGAAATTATTTAGAAAATTTTACAGCCAGTGCTAAGCTCAAAGTCAAGGAAATGGTAAATGATCTTTTTCTGTAAGTACTGTCTTCTTTCATTTCCCTTTATGTATTTATGTTTCAAAACACACAGTTCATAATAATGGAGGCATCCCTAAAAAAGTAGGTTTCCATGACATTAGTTCTATACAAGACAAACATGAATTATTTTGTGAGATAGTACTATTGTTGCCTTTGCCTTTCCACTACTCAAACCTATCTGAACCTGAGCCTATGATGGGTCAGTCAGCATAACTATCACAAACCAGGTGGAAATAGCCAGAGGTATTCCTTGTGCTCACACATTTGTGGAGCACTGTGTGGTAGGTATTTTGTCCTGTTAAATATAAATTCATAATTTGCTTTTTCAGCAAGAATTTCTTCAGCTATAAGATTTGCCACACCACAAACTTTGTTTCTACCATTTTCTAATAACTAACAAGTCAAAAGAAGTACAATAGTAACAATAAAGGAATTCTGTTTTCCCAACAAAAGCATGGTCTGTCACATTGTCAAGAGTTGAATTTCTTAATCCTCATGTTTATAAGTTTAATCAAAGAAGATTGGAATTATCTGCTCTTATTTTCTTTCACATTAGTTTGCTTTTGGAATTCTTGCACAGGTGATTGTACATAGTCAGCTTTTTGAAAAGAAAAAATATGATCAAAATCAAAACCAACTTTCTTCAACCTTAATTACAATAGCAAACAGGTGTTTAGCACTACTGAGGTGGTCAGCATCCTGCTAAGCACCCTCAGTTGTATCTTACTAATTTGCACAAGAACTCAGAGCAGGTAAGAAGCATTATCAATAGTGGTAAGTGGTTCTCAAACTTAATCCTGCATGAGTCACCTAGCATGCTTGTTCTAACACTTTTTGCATCCACCCAAGACTTTCTGATTCAGGAAGTCTAGGGGAAAGCCTGAGAATGAGCATTTTGAAGAAGATTCCAAGAAATGCTAGGACTGCTGATACATGCGCCACACTTTGAAAACCATGGTCAAAGATCAGGTTTCAGAAAACTATGGCCCACAAGCTAAATCCAGGCACCCGGGCTTCCTCTTGTTTGCTCCACAAGCTAAATTTGGTGTTAGCTTTGAATAGTGAAAAGAAATTCAAAACAATATTTTGTCACACATAAAAATCATATGACAATCAAATTTCCATAGTCATAAATAAGGCTTCATTGGAACACATCACGCTCATTCATTTATATAATATCTATTCTATGGCTGCTTTCACAAAACAACAGAGTTGAGTATCTATGAAAGAGACAGCGTTACCTGCAAAGCCTAAAGTATTCACTATCTGGCCCTTCAAAGAAGATTTTTGCCAATTTCATACAGCATGGTGAACAACACAAGAGAAGACTCCACACATGGACATCACCAGATGGTCAACCCCAAAATCAGTTTGATTATATTCTTTGCAGCCAAAGATGGAGAAATTCTATACAGTCAGCAANGTACATCTCTGGAAAACGTAAAAGTGTAACATTCTGCTGTTACCTGTTTATCGCATAAGAAATCCAGGTAAGAACACTAAATTGGCCAAGAACTACCAGGCCAAGCCCTGTGGTCATCAGTATTCTTCCTGATTAGTCTAGAATGCATCAGAAGAAGAGGGGTGTACAGGAGAGAGGCTCCACTGCAGACATTCCCATCAATTTACAAAGTGAGGTCAAGACTTGATCGTCCACATTTTAACTTGTCACAGCTGAGGGACAGGTAAGGGAGGCACCGGGGAGTCTCCGTGGCTGACTACAGTGTAATTAACCCATCTGAACTGCTTACCGTAGGAACACGTAACGACAGAGCGGAAACTGACCACTGTGACCTGGTTCTGGCAAACAGTACATGGGTGGGAAGCTTCGAGAACTGTGGAGGGCTCACTTCTGGTCACCCTCCTTATCTTGATCTTACCATTTATCAGGCAGATCAAGAGCTTCTTTGCCACATCCTTAAAAAAAAAATCTACTTTCTCCAGAGGGAAAATGTGAGAGGGGAGGGATAAACTGGGAGATTGGAGTTGACATATACACACTACTATATATAAAATACATAAGTAATAAGGATGTACTGTAGCACACAGGGAACTCTCCTCAATCCTCTGTAATGACCTATATGGGAAAAGAACCCCCCAAAAAGAGTAGATGTTTGTATATTTATAACCGATGCACTTTGCCATACAACAGGAGCTAAAATAGCATTGTAAATCAAATGTAATCCAATAAAACTTAATTAAAATTTTTTTTAAAAATTTAAATTAAAATAAGAAAATAAAAAAGGAGATGACAACTGAGCAAAGAAAGTATGTGTCATTTGAGACAGGAACCCAGATCCTTAGAAATTCTGCAAAAAGCTAGAATAGAGAGGAAAAGCTACAAAGGAAAAAAAAAAAGAATTGCTGACCCCTGCCATGGATGGAAGCAAGGTAGAGATATTATAGCTCACAGGAGTTGGTGTTGGGATTTGTATCCAGATCCAAACTTCAGAGGCCATATTTCTAGCCATTTTTAAAAGGTGTAGAAATTCACTATTGTTTAAAATAATTTGTGTGCATTAGTGACATTAACAATCTCTGTCGCTTTTTCATTAGTTCAGGAACTGTTTTCTTTCAAACTTTTTTCATCTCACCAAACCCCATCTTTCTTTTCCCATCCTTGTTCCATTAGCATTATGTATCTGTCTTCTTTATCCAGAGGATTATTTTTATGGAAAGACGCTATTTCATTCACCTGAAGCTGATTTAAATTTGGTGGCTCTTTGGCTCAGAAAATGAGTCTGTTGCTTCAACTGCATACTTAGAACGAATAGAATCATACATGTTTCATAAAAGATCTCTCAGATTATTTCCATATTTCAGAGTAGTAACTTGTGATGGGAAAAGCAGAAAGGCTTCTGAAGTTCAGCCTGGATTATATAGGAATAAAAAATGAAGTAATAACGATGACCTCATAGGTTCAGGCAACAGGGGCTGACTGATGTGGTTACGTTCTCTGAAGGCAGAGCAGGGTGGTGTATTTCACAGGGATCTGTCTTCATCCACCCGAGCAAGAGTACTGTCTGCAGCCAACCCTCCTAACCCATCACCCACCTGTCAACACTGAGCCATTCAAAATGGCATCATTCAGCTTGAGCTCTTTTTCTAATTCACCATTTCTTTGTTATGAGACGGGGGAGGAAACCCTCAAAGCATTATTTAACATGCATGGACAATGATTTGAGAAAAACTTAAAGTTGATATGTAGAAAATATGATGTCAGTAAAGAAAAGGTCTGTATGCTTAGAGCTCTTTTTGAGAGTATAATTGAATGTATCCGCTTTTTGTCAACCACATTTGACCAGCTCTGCTAAGTTTCATCATCATAAATAAAACTTTTTACCCATAAATAACTAAAATGAGATAGAATTAGACAAAAAATTCTCTAAGTAAACAGACATCTGGGCCTGTTGATATTTTATTAACCAGTAAAGACTTAACAGAAATGGGAAATCACTCTTTGCCAAGTAATTCACTGAAGGTCTTAATCAATTTCAAATAAAAACCTCACAGTTAAGTCTAATTATATCACTTTCAGTTTCAAACATAGTAATTATTAGCTCTTTTCTTAATTAATATTTTCAAGATTGCAGCACTAATTATCTACAGATTTTTAAGGTGGTTTTTAAGAATATAAGTCCAAAAGAGACGATGCCTTCCCACTGGTATTTAGGCTAGTTGCCAGCTTGTCTCCTTTCTGACAATGCTGGCTTTGAACCAGGAATAAAGAAAGGAACAGCTGACATTTAGAAAACAAAACTTCATACTACACCAATATTTTAAATAATAGCTACGAAAAGCAGAAATAGGAGCTACTTTTTAAAATTCAGCCAACATAACATATCTGGGTTGGTGTTCTACAATTCATATTCTACTATTAAAAATGAAATTCACCCCAAATTGCATTTTTTACAAACTAAGGAATCTTACTAGCATTTAAAAAAATAGCACATGAAAATTCTTCTTGTGGATATCTAGTAATCATGATTATTAAAAACATGAACATGAATGCAAAAGGTTGATGATTGTTTAAGATACATGAGGTTTATTGTACATTCTACTTTTGGTTGTGTTTGGCAATTTTCATAACAAAGTTTTTTAAAAGAAAAATAAATAAACACAAGAACTCATGGTTCTATACTTATGGAGCTATTAAAGAGATTTAATTAATTTTAAGTTCAATAAGTCTTTAGAAAACCTAACTAATGATATAGCTTAAGCATTTACTTCTGATATTCTTATTCTAAAAATGTTAATAAAAGAATTATTGACGTCCAAGACAAAAGTACAAGTTAAAATAGAACTTAGACAAGCATGTCATAATTTCTGAAAAACTGAAAGCTTGGATTCAATGCTAGTCTGTTTTGGATAAATCATAATACTAAAGATTATTGAAACCTAATAAAAGAGAAAAAAATTTACCTGGCCAAGTTTTACTGCTGCATTAACAGCTTCCTTTTTAAAGTCTTCTAACTCTTGCTGCTGTTCTCCATTGTGAACATTCTCTCTTAAAGACGTGAGCTGTAAAAGTAAATATGAAGGCTCCAACTGAGCTATACGGTAAGACTATGCCTAACCCATTAAAATTAGCCCTGGGAATTTTCAGAAGGGTTAGAGCTTTAATGTCTTTTACCTGTGCCAAATTTGTTGCAAGTCCCCAATGTCAAAATTACAGATAGGCCCCCAAACCTATGTCAGCAAATGTTTTTAACTTCCTCCCCATACCAAACTAAATCATACAACTCTCAGAATTGATTAATTTGAGGAATAGCTAATAGAGCTGTCAGTGAGCAATAAAATGATCAGGAGGTAAAGGTACCAACAGGAGAAAGGAATCAAAGGACAGCAATGATACCCAACTTACATGCTATAGCAACTAGAGGTGAAAAAGTCTTAAACGGCTATAACACGAAGGATGTAATTTATCATCTACAGGTAAATCAGCTGTGCATCAGAGCCATATTTTGGCTTCCAACAGAGAAGTCATTTCTCTGATTTGCTAGGAAACTTTTCAAGGGGTTCTGTAAATTGGGAGCTCAAATTGGTCAATGCAGAGATATCTAAAAGAGAGAGAGTGAGAGAGAGAGAAGGCTTCCATGTGTTATTGAGAAGAATCTTGGTGGTAGAATACATTCAAATTTTGACCCATGATGCATTCTGTAAAAGAGCTGACTTTTAACTGACTTTTTCTCCTCCACTTAATCCTTCACCAAAGCATCCTCAGCAAGTACTTGGCTTCTCTAAGCTCTCCTGGATTTGTGGACCCACCAGCAATACAAAGGACAAAGGATCAGTGACCATAAAAATCCACAAGTGAGCAAATATAAAGTAGGTGTGTGCATTTTCCAATTTTCCCCACTTTATCAAGTGTGTAAAAGTTCATGCTGGTTCATTATTTGGTGAAAAGTAACAAGGGCAAAGACAAATTAAACATAATATACTCCAAAAAGAATTTTGCCGAAAGGATTGCTACCATTAAAGAGGAAAGGGGTAGATGAGTGAATATGATATACCCTTCACATCACCCTTTCCCGGCAGACTCCTCCCTCTGTCAAGCTTGCAATTCCAAACACTTTCCTTCCTATAAGGAGGGAGGATCCATAGAAACAGGAATTTTTGCTCACTTTTTTCTTCGGTAATATAGTCTTAAAACCTAGCACGTAGTTTTTGTTTAGCAAGTATTTGTTGAATGAAAGAAAGGAAAACTCTTAAAGTTACTAGACAACAGAGTGATGTTAGTGTGAGATTCCACCCCATTTTAAGCTTTCCTTATTTGGAATTCCATTCTATATTACATCTTCCTTCAAAGATTAGGCTTCCTGTTTCAATTTGTTCTCCTAGAAATCTATGACTTAAAAGATAAATTAAGGAAAGAAAATATTTTGAAAGACTTACTTTCCCTTTGTGACTATAAAATGTAGATAGAAAATAACTGTCCTAAATTACACTTCATTTGGGATAGTCCATTAGTACCTAATGATGAATTTTTTTTCATATATATATATATTCCAACTTGGTTTTCTCAAGCCAGACACTTCCCCTCCAGTTGGTAGCCTTTTTGGCAAGGCAGGGCTGGGAAGGAGACATGAAAGAGTTAAATTTCTGGAAATATTTTTTTTCCAAGAACTTCTACTTAGTAGCACAGTTATAATAGTTACATTCTTCCAGGATAACGTCCCCAGTGACTGATTTTCTTTTTTATGGATTATAAACTTGTCCTCAACATAATTTTGGTATTCCTTTGATGATCTGTGTTTAGCTGAATCTGCTACCTAACAGATGCCTGAATATTTAGAATCCCAAAGGACTACAATATCCTGTGGTTTCAAATTCCTAAGCAGTTGATCCCGCCATTCTTGTTTTATTCTTGCTTTCCTACTGTCCTAGGAGCCAGTAGCAAATGCACATCATAGTTTTTTTTTTTTAATTAATTTTTATTGGAGTATAGTTGCTTCACAATGCTGTTAGTTTCTATGTACAACAAAGTGAATCAACTATATGTGTGTATATATACCCCCTCGTTCCTGGATTTCCTTCCCATTTAGGTCTCCAGAGGGCACTGAGGAGAGTTTACCCTCTGTCCTCACACAGTTAATCCGAGTGGATTTAAGAACAAGAGCTTTTCTTTCTTCTCCCCCTGGTCTGATGTCCCTCAGTTTTTTTTCTATAGTCAAAATTTCTTTTCACCTACCTTTGAATATTCTATTTTTTAAAAAAGAACAAAAGATACTACTAATAAGATGAAAAATATATGATAAATTTTAAGAGAGAAATAAAAATATGAATTCTTAGTTTATTAACTATATTTATATATGGACCCACTTACTAATTTAGTGTGATACAAAAGTAAAAAGCAGGATGGAGCATGAAGTCAGGTTTTCAACCAACTATAGTATTTTCATGAGGTTTATCAATGCAGAGGATCTAGTGCATGGAATTAATCATCTGGAAGGAACCATCAAATCTTAAGAATTCAGGTTCCCGCTATGCCTGAATTCTGTTTGGCAAAAAAGATGGCTTAAACTTTCACAGAAAATAATTCTAAAATATTTCTAAAATAAAACTGGGTTAACCAACATTTCCACATAGTAACAATTCTAATCAAGATGTAATATCTTAAGACTAGAAAATAATAATGATTCCAAAATCAAAATCAGCTAACTTTTACTCAAGGTTTTTAAGCCATTAAAGGTTCGTTTTAATAAATTCAGTATTGTAAAGAAATGTGAAATCCATATTTGGACTATAATACTCTAAATGAAAGTGGATTCTGACACTATATAGAAGAGTATATGAACAATAGAGTCAATCTGTACATTTTCTAAGAACACTAACAAAAAGAATAAAAAACTCAAATGACTAAAATTAATCAACCACTTTACAAAAGTAAATAGAGGAAATGGGAGGACGGAACAGGGGATAGTGACTGACTGAAGAATAAATACTGGCTAATGCAGAAAGTAGGGAAATGAATCAGTGGAATAATTAATCAGGGTGGTGGTGGTGGTTTAGTCACTATGTCACGTCTGACTCTTGAAACGACACTGACTGGAGCCTGCCAGGCTCCTCTGAAAATGGGATTTCCCAGGCAAGAATACTGGAGTGGGTTGCCATTTCCTTCTCCAATAATTAATTACACTTTTCAGTAATTAATAAACCTATTTATTTTGGGGTAAAGTTCTACTTAGTCTATTGCCTTTAATCTGAGTTGGTTCAACCAGCTGATCTTGAAGACCTTGAGTTTCTGTGGCTCAGAGATTATGTATATTGATGGTAACTGTAGGTGTGTAAGTAACACAAAACTCTGTAGTTACCAGTTTTCCTTTTACTAATGGAATCAGGGTTAACCAAAATTTCTGCATAGTAATAACTGCAATCAATAGTTAACACCTTTTTGAGACTAAAAAAGACTAAAAAGGTAGAAATTATTACTAGACCATCTCCACTAATGCATCTGTTAGTGAGTGTTTGAACTTTAGCAATACAACACAACAATACAACAACTTCAGTTAACCCACTTATTCATCTCTTACAACATGCCAGGCATACTGCTATCCACTGTTTTTATAGCAATATATGGGAAACTAAATTTTTTGACCACGAAGAGCTTATATTCTAGTGGTGAGGACAGGGGATGCAGGTGATAAATTAAGACATAACAAAATAATTTCCAGTGTTAGTAAGTGCTATATCCCAAACAACAAAAACAGAGTAAACTTCTAGAGAGTAAGTTGGAGAACTGCTTTCATTAGGGGACTTAGGGACAACTTCCCCAAGAAGGCAATATTTGAATCAAGTGCTGAATAAATGAGAAGATAGCAGCCATAACAAATCTGGAAGCAAGCAACCAAGAATGCGGTCAAAGCTTCTGGATAGGAAAAATATGTGACATACAGAACAAAGGCCAGGATTCTGGAGCAAAATCAATGAAATACAGAAAGCAAGGATATTTGATCTGTCAGGCAGGCAAAGACTAGATCCTGAGAAGGTTTGTGGGGAATTTGGAAATGAATTTAATTATAAAGGTAAACCAGTCAAAGGCTTTAAACAGATCACGTTAGTGCTTTGAAAATATCACTTTACCAACGTAGGTCATCACAGAGTACTGAGTAGAGTCTCCTGTGCTAGACAGTAGGTCTTTATTAGTTACTTACTTTACATATAGTGGTATGTATGTGTCAATCCAATTTCCCAATTTTCCCCCCACTTAATCTAAAAAAAAATAAAGTGAATATATGTATAACCATAAGAATTTGAGCAAACTCTGGGAGATAGGGGAGGACAGAGGAGTCTGGCATGCTATAATCCATGCGGTCACAAAGAGTCAGGCATGACGTAGTGACTGAGCAACAACAATAACTGATTCACTTCACTGTACATCTGAAACTAACATAACATTGTAAATTGACTATATTCCAATATCTTTTTAAAAATTTTTAAATTTTATTTTTAATTGGAGTATACTTGCTTTATAGCTTACCTGGTGGCTCAGATCGTAAAGAGTCTGCTTGCAATGCAGGAGGTCTGGGTTCCATCCCTGGCTTGGGAAGATTTGCTGGAGAAAAAAATGACTACCCACTCCAGTATTCTTGCCTGAAAAATCCCATGACTTAATATCATGTTAGTTTCTGATGTACAACAATATAGATTAGCTGCAAGTATACATACAGATCCTCCTTCTTGAGCCTCCCTCCCACCTCCCATCCCACCCCTCTCAGTTCAGTTCAGTCACTAAGTCGTATCCAACTCTTTGTGACCCCATGAATAGCAGCACACCAGGCCTCCCTGTCCATCACCAACTCCCGGAGTTTACTCAAACTTGTGCCCATTGAGTCGGTGATGCCATCCAACCATCTCATCCTCTGTTGTCCCCTTCTCCTCCCGCCCTCAATCCTTCCCAGCATCAGGGTCTTTTCCAATGAGTCAACTCTTCGCATCAGGTGGCCCAAGTATTGGAGTTTCAGCTTCAGCATCAGTCCTTCCAATGAACACCCAGGACTGATCTCCTTTAGGAT